ATTGCCCTCTTTCTGAAGCCACCCTGGGCGTCGCCATGTTCCCTTCCCTGTGGGCGGGGTCTTGCAGTCACGTGAGGAGTAAGACCTCGGCGTCGATTTACACTTTACTGTGGACTAGGGGAGTCAGAGGGTTTTTGCAGCTAAAGGAATGGGGTTTATTTATTTGAGCCAGGTCTGGCACATAGCCCAGGCTGTCCTTGAACTTGACCGAGGTCCACCCGCTTCTGCCCTGTCCAGTTTGAGGCTGGTGCATGTCTTAATTCTGAAAGGGAAAGAGAGAGACTAAGTAACTAGATTAACCCTGTGTTGTAGCATTGAACAAAGCATATCTCTCTCTCTCTCTCTCTCTCTCTCTCTCTCTCTCTCTCTCTGTCTCTCTCCCTCCCACCCCTCTATTTACTCTATGTGTTTGAGTGTTTTGCCTGCATGCATGGTGCCCCTTTAAAGAGGTCAGGAAAAGGCCTCAGGTCCCCTGGAACTAGAGTTACAAATGGTTGTGAGCCACCATGTGGGTGCTGGGAACCGAACCTGGGTCCTCAGCAAGTGCTCTTAATTGCTGAGCTATCTCTCCAGTCTCGGACAAAGCATTTCTTAACCTGTCAGCATGTGAATTGGAGCAGAATTTGGCCCAAAGGTTAAGGCAGCAAAGCTGACAGAAATCTGCTGAGACAGGATCTTCATCGTCAACTTGATAGGATCTAGAAGTCACCAAAAAAAACAAACCTCTGGTAGGTTTGTGAGGGCTTTGGTGGGGAGACACATCCTCACTGTAGCCTGATCTCATACCTGGCTGGGGACTAAGTGTAAAGAAGTGAGCCGAGCACCAGCCAGCGTTCACTACACTCTGCTTCCTGACTGGATGGCAAGTGACCCAGCGCCTCTTCGCTCCAGCTGCGAGCCAAAATAAGCTCTTCCTTCTCAGGTTGCCCTTGTTACAGTGATGTGAAAAGAAACTGAATACAGAGACCAAGACTTCCCATCCAGTTCCAGCCACCCTTGGGACTTTTACTAGCCCGAGAGCAGCGTCTTCATTTGTCCCAAAAGCAGCCCTTAACATCCCCTGCAAAGCCTCCTCCTCCACAGCTGTTATCATAGCCCGCAGAAGTGTTATCTCCAGCAAAGCTACTGGGACTCTCATCAGATTGCCCATTTGTGGGCTTCCACCAGCGGCTCTGATTGTTAAATCAGTTAAAGTGAAGCTAAGCCAGATGTGGTGGTGCAGGCCTTTAATCCTAGCAGCCAGGGGGCCAAGCAGGTAGATGTCTAAGAGTTCATGGACAGCCTCATCTACATAGTGAGTTCCAGGCCAGCCAAAGGCTACATGGTGAAACCCTATCTTAAAAAAACAAAACAAAACCCTTTCAAATGAATGGTGGGATTACAGGCATGTGGCACTGTGCTACTATAGTTTATTTACGTTTTCCTCCTTCCAGGGAGAGAGGTTTACTAGGAAAGGGTGGTGAATCTTCCCTGATAGGCTGTCTGACGCTGGAGTTGGTTCTGGGTGGCTTACTGAAGACATTTCATGGAGTAAGGTTTCCTGTGGTAATAGTTGGACATACAGTCTGAAGTAGGATAGAGGACCAAGCCGAGGGTACAACTTAGTGCTATTATCCATGTAGTAATTACACCTCTGAGATTGAGTGCAGGCAAGGGGGTCAGGAGTTCAAGACCAGCCTGGGCTACATGGAACCAAGTCCCCCAAACAAACAAAACCACACTTAAAACACAAACAAGCCGGGTGTTGGTGGCACACGCCTTTAATCCCAGCACTCGGGAGGCAGAGGCAGGCGGGTCTCTGTGAGGTCGAGGGCAGCCCGGGCCCAGAGCCAGGGGCAGGGGAGGCGCCCAAGCTACACAGAGAAACCCTGACTCAAACACACACACACACACACACACACACACACACACACACAAGAGCATCTGGGTGTGGTGTCTTGCACACGCCTTTCACCCCAACACATGGGAAGCAGAGGTGGGCAGACTTCTGGATTCAAGGCTGCTCTGGTCTACAAAGCAAGTTCCAGGACAGCCAGCACTCTACAGAGAAACAAAACAAAACCCCAAAACCATAACCAAGAAAGAATAAGGCAGGCATGGTGGTGAAATGCCTGTAATTCCAGCACTTGGGAAGTGGAGGCAGGAAGGTCAGGAATTCAAGGTCATCCTCAGCTATATAGCCTGGGTCATTTAAGAGCCTGTCTCAAACAACGATACAAACGTGTGTGTGTGTGTGTGTGTGTGTGTGTGTGTGTGTGTAGAGCACGGTTTTTATTGGATGACATGTGCAGAGTGGAGGGAACCACATCCCAGCTTTTAGAAATTTCACAAAATCTCCAAAAATTGTGACTGAAACATGGATAACAGAGATGACTCTGGAGATGCCAAATTTCTCCCTGGTAGAGCCACACCAGGTGTTCAAGTTTGTGTCCACATCTGCTCTCATGCGTGTGGGGAGCCAGACGTCAATGTTAGTGTCTCCTCAGTTACTTTGGGTCTCTCACTGAACCTGGACCTTGCCAATGCAGCTAAGCTGAGCTGTCTGCTTCCCCAGCACCTGGCTTTGCTACATGGGTTCTGAGGATCGGAACTCAGGCCCTCATGCTTGCATGTCAAGCACTTTTGGCAGGTGTAAGCCCCAGCCTCTCCTATGGGAGTGTCAGACTCTAACTGTGTTCATTTCTGGAGGTCCAAATAACAGGGTGACCATAAAGCATTACATGAAAGTTCACAATGTGGGGACTGGAGAGACGGCTCAACGGTTAAGAGCACTGGCTGCTCTTCCAGAGGACCGGGGTTCAATTCCCAGAACCTACATGGCAGCTCATAAATGCCCATAATTCCAGATTCAGGGGACCCAACAACTTCACAGAGACATACATACAGGCAAAACATGAATGCACATGAAATACAATTAAATAAATCATTAAAAAAAAGTTCAGAATGTGTTAGTAAAGGTCTGTGAGGGACTGGTGAGATGGCTCAGCAATAGGTAAAGGGACTTATTGCCAACCCTGTTCAATCCCTGGGACCCGCAGTGGAAGGAGTGAACTCATTCAAGTTGTCCTCTGATTCGCATACCTGGTGGATGATCCTTACCCACAAGTAAATAAATAAATAAATAAATAGATGTAATTTAAAAGATTTGTTGGGAGTGTATTGTGTGGAGAGACAGCTCAGTGGCTAAGAGCACTGGCTGCTCTTGTAGAGGACCCAGATTTGGTTTCCAGCATCTACATAATGGCTCACAAACACCCATAACTCCAGTGCCAGGGGATCTATGCCCTCTTCTAACTACAGTGGGCACCAGTCACAAACATGGTGCACATACATGAAGACAAAACACTCACAACATTTAAAAAAATCTAAAAAAAATGTTTTAAACCAGTCTTCAGTTCCCTAATCTAGAAAAACCATAATAGTGGCAGCATCCGTTCACACAGCGGTTATACGTATCTAATACAATTCTCAGTGTGTGTGTGTGAAATCACTAAACATGTATGCTTTGGACTAAAGAGTCAGTGTGTTAAGGCTGTGCATGCGATCCAGTGGTAGAGCACTGGCTGTGCCTGAGGTGTTGTGTTTAATCTGGGGGTGGAGGGTGGGGGACGACGACGACGACGACAGTGCTCTTTTAGGAAACTATTAGCATCAGGCTGTGTTACTTACCTGTAATCCCAACACAGAGGAGGTGGAGGCAGGAGGATCAGAAGCACAAAGTCCTCCTTAACTACTCAGCCAATACAGAGGGCTAGGCTGGCCTACATGAGGACCCCCTGCCCCTCACACACAAAAGGAGTATCCATGATTAGGTCGTCTCTCAACTGCGCTTTTGGGAGGGATGTTGGCGTTAAGTCCCGTTTTATAGATGAGGAAACGCCGTTGGTGAGACCTGTAAGGGTTGGGAAAGGCTCACAGTTTTACGATCTTCGCCGACAGGCACAAAAGCAGGAAGGGTTG